GGAGGCTGAGGCAGAAGGATCGCTTGAGCCCAGGAGTTTGAGGTTGCTGTGAGCTAGGCTGACGCCACGGCACTCACTCTAGCCAGGGCAACAAAGTGAGACTCTGTCTCAAAAAAAAAGCAAAAAACACCAAGATAAAAATCTCATTTTAACTCATCAGACTGGCAATGCTCAAAAAGGTTTGTACTATGCTATGGGTTGTAAGAGATAGACTTAGAGATGGGACAGTAGGTGCTTAGCTATTAATGGTGTGAGCATAAATTGGTATAAGGTTTCTGAAGGGCAACAGGGGTTAAAATTTTATTTTATTTTCTGTTATGTGATGTGATGTGATATGAGTCTCTTTTGCCTAGGTTGGAGTGCAGTGGTGTAGTCACAGCTCAATGCCAACCTTAAACATGCTGCTATGCCCAGATAATTTTTGTACTTTTTGCAGAGACTGGGTGTCACTATGTTGCCCAAGCTGGTCTTCAACTCCTGGACTCAAGCAGTCATCCTACCTTGGCCTCCCAAAGTGCTAGGATTATAGGTGTGAGCCATGTTGCCCAGCCCCAGGGTTAAAATTTTAAATCCACCCCTTCCACTTCTAGGGATTTATCCCAAATATACACCTGTATACGTGTACAAAGAAATATATATATTCGCTATAGAATTGTTTGTAATAGTAAAAAATTGGTAGCAATTTAAATGTTCACTAAAGAAGGCTGATCAGATAAAAACCTGGGCGTGGTGGCTCATACCCGTAATCCTAACACTTTGGGAGCCTTATCAGGAGGATCGCTTGAGGCCAAGAGTTGGTGACCAGCCTGAGCAAGAGTGAGACCCCCTCTCTATAAAAAATAGAAAAAGTAGCCAGCCTTGGTGGCATGCACCTGTAGTCCCAGCTACTGGGGAGGCTGAGGCAGAGGATCACTTGAGCCCAGGAGTTTGAGGCTGCAGTGAGCTATGATCACACCACTGCACTGCAGCCCAGGTGACAGAGCGAGACCCTGTCTCAAAAAAAAACAGCATATCCATGCAAGGCAGGTGCCATACTGTGCAGCCGTACAAAGAACAGGGCAGCTTCAGAAATACTGCATGGAGAAGGGAAATCTCTAACTTGGCTTTTTAAGTGAAAAAAGCAAGATGGCAGAACAATTTATAATGTAACAAAATTTGTTTCTTAAAAGGGAGGACCTGGGTGATTGTTATAGTGGTGTGTTCACTTTGTGAAAATTCATCAAGCTGAACATTTATGATTTGTGTATTTTTCTGTGTGTGTATATATGTATGTGTGTGTGTGTGTGTGTGTGTGTGTGTGTGTGTGTATAAAGGTTACCGCACAAAAAAAAAATCTAAAAAAGCAAGGAGACAATAGATACACATATGTTTATATATACAGAAAGTATTTCTGGAAGGAAATACAAGAAACTTAACATTGTCTGCCAGTGAGGGGGGACAGTGGGGGATAGAGACAGGACAGAGGCTTTTCAGTACTCTCTGTTTTGAATATTACCTATTGAAGAAGGCAAGGAATTTTTTTTTTTTTTTTTTTGAGACAGAGTCTCACTGTGTTGCCCGGGCTAGAGTGCCGTGGCGTTATCCTAGCTCACAGCAACCTCAAACTCCTGGGCTCAAGTGATCCTTCTGCCTCAGCCTCCCGAGTAGCTGGGACTATAGACATGCACCACCATGCCCGGCTAATTTTTTCTATATATTTTTAGTTGTCTGATTAAAATTTCTTTCTATTTTTAGTAGAGACGGGGGTCTCGCTCTTGCTCAGGCTGGTTTCGAACTCCTGAGCTCAAACAATCCGCCCACCTCGGCCTCCCAGAGTGCTAGGATTACAGGCGTGAGCCACTGCGCCCTGCCTAAAACATCTTAATGTGCATTGTGCCAGATAGGATGACTATTGTAAACCAAATCTATACATATTTAGTATGGCATTATATACTAAACTTTCACAGTATATATACTAGCATTTTAAAGGTGTTAAGAAGTCCTGCAGTTACAAAACTGTTTAATACATTATAGCAGGTGTTGGCAAAGTTTTTCTGTAAATGGACAGTTAGTAACTATTTTAGGCATTGTAGGCTACACAGTGTTTGTTGCAGCTACTCAGCCGTGGAGTTACAATGCAAAAGGAGCCATGGACGATGTGTAAATGAATGAGCACTGCTGTTTTCCAGTAAAACTTTATTTACAAAATCAGATGGCCAACCAGATTTGACCTACAGGTTGTGGTTTTATGTGACACAGTTGATATTTAACAAAGGTTTTTGAGCATAGAGGTCTATTTCCATTATATCTGGCAGACGAATACCTAGTCCTGTGTTAATATTATACTTTTTTTGAAAATGCTTCTAAAGGCTTATCCAGCTAAATAGTGTATCATCCCAGGAGTATATTTAATGACTGATTTAACATGGCTTGTTCTAGTGTAAGAATGGCCAGCAACAGGAAATCAATTAATGTAATTATATTATTGGATTGAAAATCCATACAGTCTCATCAGTAAGTACCAAACAGCATTTTAGACAATTTAATATCCAGAAATATCCCATATGGATTAACTTAAAAGTGAAAATTAAAAACCATAATTAACTAGAATAACAGAAAAATTAATAGAAGGGGATTTCTGTATTTTTTTTTTCTTTTTGAGACAGAGTCTCACTCTGTTGCCCTGGCTAGAGTGCCATGATATCAGCCTAGCTCACAGCAACCTCAAACGCCTGGGCTCAAGCAATCCTACTGCCTCAGCCTCCCAAGTAGCTGGGACTACAAGCATGTGCCACCATGCCCGGCTTATTTTTTCTATATATATTTTTGGTTGTCCAGCTAATTTCTTTCTAATTTTTTAGTAGAGACAGGGTCTCGCTCTTGCTCAGGCTGGTCTCGAACTCCTGAGCTCAAACAGTCCACCCACTTTGGCCTCCCAGAGTGCTAGGATTACAGGTGTGAACCACTGCACCCTGCCTTCTGTATTCTTTTATCAGGGAAGGCCTTTCTAAGCAGACTCCAAGAACAGAATTTTAGAAACTTTTCAGATATGATACACAAAATATAACTTCTCTATGGCTATAGTAAAATAAATGTTAAAGGAAAAATTACATACACTTATAAATGCACCAAAAGAGTCACAAATACACTCTAAAGTGTTAGCAGTGTTTAATAGAGATTGAAAAGCAGGTAACCTTTCTTTAGTACTGTTTAATTTTCAACAAGCATGTATAACTTTTATAATCATCAAAAATAAAGGTATTTCCATTTTGGCAAGAATAATAAAGAAGGATAAATTGTATTTATTCTATCTGCCTGAGCAAGAAGGTATTTAACAAAAAGGGAGAAATTTTTTGAGAAGTTTCGAACAGGTTTTGGCACATAAAGTCTTAACTGCTATTTACGTAGATAATACTGTATATAACAAAGCATGACTAAGTTGGTTTATACTGTTATAGCCTTTTAAAAGTGTGAAATGATACTAAATGTTATGAGGAAGCATTATGTTTTTAATTTTAAAGTTCTTTTTCATTTACATTTGAAATCTGTACCATGCTAGTTTCTCTGCTTACTTTTAAGTTTAATAAAATAATACAAAGTTAATATGGTTTTGTTGACTCTTCAAAGATTTGTGCGTATAAAGTTTATCTTAATGCAAAATTAAGCAAAATAAATACTGTTTAATTTTAGGGCTATACTACAAAATTCCTGGACAGAAGTCATGGATTTAATATTGAAACCCCGTTCTGGAGGTGAGAATAAAATTCATGTTTAGAAAATAAATAGAATGTTTGGCTAGGTATTTATGGAATTGCTTTGAATGAAGTATATATGCAAATTTGGGTGGTTATTTCAAAATTTTCTTTGTTTTATAATAAAACTATGGCTATTTCTTTGTATTTTCCACAAGTTTTTTGTATACATTTAAGATTTAGTGTTTATATCCTGTTTTTAGCTCTTTAGCTTACCTAATTTATTAATTCATAAATTCCTCTGGGTGCAGTGGCTCACCTGTAATCCTAGCTCTAAAACCATACTGTATGAAAAGGATTTAATTACTTTACAAATTGTCAAAATAATTATGTACACTTTGGGTAATTATTCATTTGCAAACTAATAAAAGATAAAATTATCTAGTTTTAAGGAAAGTAACCCATTAAATTTTTTTTTTTTTTTTTTTTCAAGACAGAGTCTCACTCTGTTGCCCTGGCTATAGTGAGTGCTGTGGTGTTGGTGTGGCTCACAGCAACTTCAAACTCCTGGGCTCAAGCGATCCTCCTGCCTCAGCCTCCCGAGTAGCTGGGACTACAGGCATGTGCCACCATGCCCGGCTAATTTTTTCTATATATTTTTAGTTGTCCAGATAATTTCTTTCTATTTTTTTTAGTAGAGACGGGGTCTCACTCTTGCTCAGGCTGATCTCGAACTCCTGAGCTCAAACAATCTGCCCACCTCGGCCTCCCTGAGTGCTAGGATTACAGGCGTGAGCCACCACGCCCGGCCCCATTAAATTTGACAATACAGTGGCAAAGGAGAAAGGAAGGAAGGAAGAACTAACAAGTTTTTGTTGAGTCTACTAGGATGATGAATAGTAAATGGCTTTTATTATTGGCCTGGGGGTGGTAGCATATTGACAAAGCCGTATAGTTCTGTAAACTTTCTGCATTTCCCATCTTTTTGCTTTCTGATCGCTATTCTCAGGTGAGCTGAAGCTCTTCATAGCACCAATGTTACAAATAGCATTTCCTAATTTTGTGTTCTCTACGAAGTGTACTTTTACGTTATGGAAATTTGTCTATTGGATAAATCATTTAATCATAGTTTTTCCTCCCCAGCCGAAAAGGGATACTTGGTTAAGTGCAGAGAAGAATGGGCGAAGACCAAAGACCCAGCTGCTGCCCTCAGAAAACTACCTGTCAAAAGGTGTGTGGAAGGGCAGCTGCTTCGAGGACTTTCAAAATATGGAATGAAGAATATAGTCTCTGCATTTGGCATAGTGAGTGCGATTTGTGAAGTCAGGCAATGACTTGAGGCTTTTTAATGCTTTCTAAATTTCATCTTGAAAGATTTTACTGAATTTTGAAAGACCACAAGGTAAATAAGGATCCTTTGGTGATCTCTGAGAGGTGTGTTACCTGAGTGATCCTTGTTCACACCCTGAATGGTGATGAGAGGGTGGATGGGGCATTATTTACATTGATGGCACAAGAAAGGCAGTCATATGGAAAATGTGATCTCCAGTGGAAATTTAATTTAAATTCAGTCTCTTGGTATTTGAGAAATTCAGAATCTACTGGACAGTCATTCCTTCATCATTCACCATCATCACAACTGTAAACTGCCTTAGTATGAGGGCTAGACAGTAAGCAATCTAAATAGTTGCATTTTCGTCTGGTTTCATCAGGGTGGTTCAAGAGTAGGTACTAGTTGGTAAGTGTAGCCTATGCCAGTATTTCAGTATGTATAATCCAGAATACATTAAAATGTATCCTTAAACTTAAGTCTTAGTTACTTTCCTCCAGATATACAAAAAAGCAGGATTCTTGCTGCATGAAATAGTTGCCAGTTCAATCATTTAGGTTTTCTCCTTCCATAGAATTTTTGGGGAGAAACCACTGTTAGCTCTGTAACACTGAAATTCCTTCAGTTTGAAGTCTGTCTTTGATTTAGGGTATAAAATCCGTACCATTTGCTTTAGTGGCATGATTGTGCACATTGTGGATGCAACATGTGAACTGCTACAGCTGCTGCTGACTGATAACACCCCTTAGTTTCAGGGGTTCTATCTCTGATATTTAATGTTATGTATCAGTCACTATTTATTTCAAAATATTAAGGGGGTACAAATTTTTTTTTAAGTATATAGCTTTTTTTTTTAAATAGGCCAGGCACGGTGGCTCACGCCTGTAATCCTAGCACTCTGGGAGGCCGAGGTGGGTGGATCGCTCAAGGTCAGGAGTTCAAGACTAGCTTGAGCAAGAGCGAGACCCCGTCTCTACTAAAAATAGAAAGAAATTATCTGCACAACTAAAAATACATATATAGAAAAAATTAGTTGGGCATGGTGGCGCATGCCTATAGTCCCAGCTACCTGGGAGGCTGAGGGGGGAGGATCGCTTGAGCCCAGGAGTTTGAGGTTGCTGTGAGCTAGGCTGATGCCATGGCACTCTAGCCAGGGCAACAGAGCCAGACTCTGTCTCAAAAAAAAAAATAAAAATAGAGACAGGGCCTTGATCTTGTTCAGGTGGTCTTGAACTCCTGGCCTCAAGCAATCCTCCTGTCTCAGCCTCCCAGGATAGCTTTTATGATGCTTTATTCAGGGCTATAAGTGTACCCATCACCAGAATAGTGTTCATTGTACCTAGTGGGTAGTTTTTTACCCTTCTCTTCCTCCCTCTGCCCTTTTTGATTTCCAACGATTTTTACTTCTTTCTTTGCCTGTGTGTGCCCATCAGTTAGTTCCAAATTATTAGAGAGAGAGTACATGTTTCCATTCTTGAGATACTTCACTTAGGCTGATGGTCTCCAGTTCCATCCAAATTGCTGCTAAAGACATTAAGTCTTTCTTTTTATGGCTGAGTAGTACTCCATGGTGTGTTTTGTTATCAGTTAGGATATCTATGGGTTATTAGTAAAACAAGAGATTTAAAGTATAAGTTTCTTACACTAGGATCACTACTAAACAAGCAAGATATCTTGGAAAGTGCAGTACTTTTTATATTCAGAGTATTTTTTTTTTTTGCCTATTTTACTTCCCTTCAGATACCAAGAAATAATCGCTTAATGTATATTCATAGCTATCAAAGCTATGTGTGGAATAACATGGTGAGCAAGAGGATAGAAGACTACGGACTGAAACCTATTCCAGGGGACCTTGTTCTCAAAGGAGGTAAAAAGACAAATAGCATTTTTATTCAACCAAACTAGTGTTCAGTTGTTTGACACTAGTGGCCTTACAATCCAGTCTGGCTACTAGTTAACAAAGGGAGATGTTTAGTGAGTTTTAGATGGAAATCCACATAAGCTCATACTGGCTAGTTTGTATCTGTGTCTTTAACGAAAAAATATACCTCTGGTTTGAGTAGCGCCTGACTCACTCACTCTGGGCCTCCCTTTTCTCAACTAGAATAGGATCTGGACTAAATGATGGCTAAAATCCATTTCCAAACTTTAATCTGGGTCTAGCAAATATGTACGCTTTTGGATGTCTTTCAGCCTCTCAGCCTGTCGTCAGCCTGTATTAGAGTTTCTTCAAGTCAGTACCAGACTGGAGCTAACTTTACACGTGGGCCGTAATAGAATGGGCGTTTAGTGTGTACTGTGCCCAAAACGTTCATGAGACAGCACTAATAGCCCATCTGCCATGCAGCCCTGACTGTGTGCCAGGCCTTGGCACTAAGCCCTTTCTCTGCAGCTTCTTTAAAGCTGACAGTATTACTGTGAAGCATTTTCTCTGTTTTTCAGATGAGTTTTATTCACTTGCCCACAATTCCATAGCTGGTTAAAAAAAAGAAAAAGGAGCTGGGATTTGGAGTCATGTCTGCCCAATTCCAAACTCCTTGTTTCTCTGGCATACCTGGCTATTTGCTGAATACACTGCCTACTCATCTCTAGGCAGACCCCATCCATTGAGGTTTTGAATTTGTACAGAAATTTTTAATTATTTTTTT